TTGAGGCGGGCCGCCGGCCTCGCGCTGCGACGTGACGTTGATGTCGATTGTCGTTTTCGAGCTCGCTCGCTCGTTTGGCGCCGGTAGCGGCGCCGGGTCTGCGCGACGCCAGAGAGGCGCCGCGGTCGACTCCCCCGGAAGGAGAGGAGAGCCGCGGGGACGGCCGACGGCGGAGCGTCGTGTGACGTGCCGTTCGTCGACTGTCTTAATTCCCGCGCGAGTTCGCGCAGAAAGGCGGCGGCGGCGGCGAGCCAGCGCGACGCCGAGGAGGCGCCGCGGGGCGACTCCCCCGCGAGGAGGGAGGAGCCGCAGAGGGGGCGGGCGGCGGGGCGCCGTGGTGGCGCGTGTCCGCGATGCCCTTCGTTCGCGTTCTCGTCCGTTCGGAAGACGCGCGTGTCGTTTTGGCGCCGGAGGTGGCTCCGGGCCTGCGACGCCGAAGGGCGCCGCGCGCGACTCCCCCGGAAGGCAGGAGGAGCCGCGCCCCGCCGCGGCCAGAGCCGCGGCGAAAAATGGGCTGCGCGGCGGGGCGCGGGCTGCCTCGCCGCGCTGCCGTGCCGCAGGACGCTTCGCAGCGCCCTGTTGCTGCGCGAGGGACCCGGTGGGTGTCGCGCGAGCAGGCTGCGCCCGGCGGCTAGCCGGGCGCGCGCGCAGGAGCGCATAGTGGGCCCATAACCCATAGAGACACAGAGTATGTTAGGAATGTGTGAGAGGACCAGTAGAGCCGGTAGAGGCTCGGTAAGGCCGATGGTGAAGGCAGGGTAGGGTGCTCCTGTGTGTGTGGTGTCTTGTGTGAGTGTGCTTATGGATCCAGGGGGGGTTCGCTAAACGTAGGGGGCCTGGGAGGAGCGGGGGGACGGGAGGCTCACGGGGCTCGATCAGTCCGCGGCGACGAGCAGGCACGCCCGGGTCGCCGACAAGGTACTAGTAGCTGACATCGAGATCATCTCCTCGCGTACACGCCCGCACGCACTCTCACACGCCCCAATCCTTACAGCGCCGCCCCGCGTCCCGTCATGGTGTCCCCGACCCCCCTCCTTGAACGTCGCCCGAAAAATCGAGCGCTCGCGACGGCTTTCGGCCAAAACGGGCGACCGGGCCACGGGCGACGAGCGAATCAAACCGGCTCAGCCGCCTCGAGGCGTAGTCTGGCCTCGCGGCGCGCTTACGGCCTTCGCGCGCGGCCTGGGCGACCGTGGCCGCATCCCGTGGCCCCTCCGGGGCCCGGCGATCGAGTCGATCGGGCGAACCGCCTCGCTTCGGCGCCGGCGCACGCGGGGGGGGGGTCGGAACCGGCCTTCGCGCCGCGCCGTCCCGACGAGCTTCGGGTGGCCCTGCGCGCACGGCCTCACGGCCCCGCCCCCGCGGGGCACACCCCGCGGTCCGAGATAATCCGATCGAAACGCCGCGCTCTCCGGCCCTCGGGGCGCCGCGCGGTCCCCGCCCCGCCTCTGCAACTTCCGCGCGTCGTCGACGAGCGCAGTCGACCCGGTCCCCGCGCAGGTTCGAAAAAAACACCACAAAACCCCACAAAAATCCCGGAGATGAGCTCGAGGGGCTCTTTCTTTCGCGTATGTGCGTGCCTTCTGCTTCTCTTCGGCGGTTCGAGGTCGGAGGAAACGAAGCAAGGGTCGGAGCTCGTCTCGGGGTGCTTCGACCTGGTGGAGCGGACGCAGGGCGGCGCGACAGCCAAGGTCAACTTGTGCGGCGCCGCCTCGATTGCGGGCGAGACGACGTGCGGCAACGGGAGGCGCGGGACGTTCACGCTGGAGCACTCGAAGCTGGGGACGGTGGCGCACCTGCGCGGTCGACCGGCGTGCTACCCGCTCGGTCCGGGGGCATTCCGCGCCGCCGTGCGCCGGAATGACCAGGAGACGAAGGTCTTTGGTCCTCTGAAGCTTTTCGCGAAGCGGCTGGCGGCGTGCGACGCGAGGACCGGCCCGCTCGTCGTGGTGGTCATAGGCGGCAGCGTGACCGAGGGCGCCAAGTGCGCCGACCCGACGGGCGCCACGATGGGCGCGTGCGCCTTTCCGACGCGGCTCGTCGAGGGCTTCCGGGCTGCGAGGCCGTCGTGCGAGGTGCGCCTTCGCAACCTCGGCCGCGGCGGGTACACGACGATGTACGCGCTGGCGCGGTTCGACCCGGCCGAGACGGCCGACGCCGACCTGCTCATCCTCGACGAGACGGTCAACGACATTTTTACGAATAAGGAGGAGAGCCGGAACTATCACCCATACGCGCGCATTCGCGGCGCCGTGGAACTGCTCGTGCGGCGCATCTTCCAGACGGCCGCAAAGGCGCCGCCGGCGCTCCTCCTCCTCAGCACCATCGTGGCCGCGCCGCCCACGGACTACAGGTACCAGGACGATGCCCTCGAGCCCGTCGCGAGGCGCTACGGCCTCCCGCTCGTCAGCTACCGCGACGCCGCCGATGCGGCCGCCGCGCTCGCATTCCACGGGGCATCGACCGGAGGCAACAACCGCAGCACCTTTCTGATGACGTACGCGTGGCATCCCGGGGGCGGACCACCGCATCCCGGGATGAGCGACCTGAACCACCCCGACTGGTTCGCCCACCTCCTCATGGCGGACCTAGTCGCGTACGTCGTCGCCGCCGCGAGGAGCGACCCTCGGGTCGACGCCGTGCCCCTCGCCGCCGCGACGCGCGACGCCCTCGCCGCGGCGCCCGCCTTTGGCGCGAAGGGCCTCGTCGACGCCTGCAACGGCGACTACCTCACGCGGCTGCCGACGGCGGACCGGCCCGACTTCTCCCGGGCGCCGCTGGGCACGCCAGGCCCGGGCTGGACCTTCGTCGCCAACGGCTCCAAAAGCGGCTGGGAGTACGACGCCTCGGACGACGTCCGCCGCGGCCTCGCCGAGATGCCTCGCATCCGCTTCCCTGTCGCCTTTGGCACACGGCCGGGGCTCGTCCTCTCTGTCATGAGCTCGTACGCCAACTTCGGCCCCGGCTGCTTCTGGCTCGAGCGCTCCGGCGCCGCCAGCCTCGACGTGGCGACCGCCGCCGTCCACGCCGGCCGCGCCCTACGCGACCACTGCTGGACCGTCAAGACGAAGCCGGGAAGCTACGAAAAGAACGGCGTTCACGAGTTCCTCTGCCACAAGGTCCTCGCGCACTCGATCACCCTCCCCTTCATCGTCGACGGCCACTGGGGCGATCGTTCTTCTCAGCCGAGGCCCCAGTCGTACGCTGCCGTAGGCGCCGTCCCGACGCCTACTCGCTACGTCCAGGGCGCCCCCTCCTTCAACCCCCCCAATGCCGACCAGCCCCTCTCGCCGCCAAACACCACCGACGTCCTCGTCTTCGTCGCCTACCCGCCCAGCGATGCGAAGGACCTCCGCCTCGGCGCCAAGGTCCGCCTCATGGCCATCGAGACCTGCTGAAGTTTCTTTTGATCACGTGTGAGTCTCTGGAGATGGCGGCCTGAAGACCTCTAGGCAGAGGTCGATCATCATGTCGCTGGACGCGCCGACCCGATGGGACGCCGCCGCCGTCGCGCCCTTAGCCGCCCCCCGGCGCGCGCGCGCCGCCGCGGCGCCCGCGGCCGGCGCCTCACCAGTACTGGACGTGGGGCCGCTGGCCCGTGAGGAGGTCGGCCTTCGTGTCGACGTCCTTCCGGAACTGCCACGTGCCGTCGTGCTTGGAGTGGTCGAGGCGCACGCGGCCGGGCAGCTCGTGGTCGGGCACCTCGCCCGTCTTCTCCGGGTCGTAGTCGGGCTCGAACTGGTGGAAGAAGTCCTTGGGCAGGTTGCCCGGGAGCGGGTTCTTGCGCTCGTACTCGGCGCGGTCCTTCTCCGCCTCGGGGTCCTTCTCGCCGCTGCGGCGGTAGCGCTCGCGCTCGAGGTCGTAGGCGTCCTTGCGGTCGAACTCGGCCTGGTAGTCGTCGCCGTGCTTGGCGCGGTACATCATGTCCTGGTTGAACGCGAGGTTGTTCTCGATGAACTCCTTGCACTCCGCGAGGACGTCGTCGGGCAGCTCGCAGGCCTCGCACTCCTCGCGGTCCACGCGGTGGACCTCGCCGTTGGACATGCGCACCCAGCCCATGATGTGGTAGCGCCGCAGGAAGTGGTCGAGCGTCTCGAGGCTCACGTCCTCGGGGTCGTCGTCGTTCTCGCCGTAGGTCCAGCGCACCCAGCCGACCATGCCCACGAGGCTGTGGTCCGCCCGCAGGCGCACGGCGTTGCCCGGCTCGAAGTAGTCCGGGTACTGGGGCTTGAAGTTGCCGTAGTCGTCGAACGTGTCCTCGAAGAGCTGCCGCGGCGTCCGCCCGTGCTTGTAGGGCTTGGGCAGCCCGTCGACGATCCACATGTTGCCCTTGGGCGGCTCGTGGGGGTAGTGCACCTCGTACTGCGCGGGGGGGGGGGGGCGGTTCATAGCGGGCGTTTCTTTCGGGGGACCACGCGCCTCCTCTTCCTTCGGGTTGCCCCACATGTCCTGCTCCTTGAACGCGCCGCTCTTCACCATGCGCGTGCCCCACGTGTCTGCGGGGCGGGGCGGGCGTCGCGGGGCGCGCGCGCGTTTTTTTCAATCGCGACGCACCCATGGGGCCGATGGCGGGCAGGCGCTTGCCCGCGCGGAGGAGGCCGCTGAAGTCGGGCTGCGGCAGGGGCGGCCCGTGCTCGAAGGCGCTGTCGGACCAGTTGCGCGTGTCCAGCATGTCGACGCCATTGTGGTAGGCGCGCGGGATGTCCGGTTCCCGGGGCATCGTTCACGCGTCGTGGGGCTCTCGGCCACCGTGTGTGTCGGAAAAGCTGGCGGAGTCCACTCGAGCTTCCAACTCGTCTGGGGGGCACCATCGGTGATGTTGCCGTCAATAACCCCATCGGCTCTCTCGAGTTGTCGATCAATCAACGAGGCCCGCCCGGGAGCGCCGCGCTGGTCGGGCCGCCCCGCCGCCCCGCTCCCCCCCGCCGCCCGCGCCCGCGGTACCCATGGCGCCCAAGGGGCGGGACGAGGCCGAGCCCCAGGCGCGGAAGAGCCGCCTGGGCCAGAAGCGCGCCTACATCCCCGAGAACCCGGGCGACGGCGAGTTCCCGCGGGCGGCGTCGACGGACTCGCTCTTCGGGGGCGGCGGCGACGACGACCCGCCGACGCCGCGCATCACGCTCCAGCCCCTGGGCAAGGCGAGCGCCGCGCGCGAGGTCGCGGCCGTCGTCGACCAGACGGGCCACCAGCGGAGCAGCACGTCCCTCCCGGGCATCGGGTCCGCCGAGGGCGCGCCGGAGAAGAAGAAGCCGGGCAAGAAGGGCAAGAAGCAGGTGCCGTCGCTGAGCCTGGGCCAGCCGAAGCTCCGCGCGTCGTCGAAGCTCACGTCGCTCGAGAAGACGCGGCTCCAGTTCGAGCGCGAGCTCGCGCTGGACAAGCAGGGGTCGTCGACGTCGTCCCAGCCCCAGGGCTTCGGCTACGGGTCCCGGGCGTCGTCGGCGCCCCCGCCCCGCGGCGGTTCCGTCGCGTCCGCGGCGTCCGCGTCGAGTCAGAGCACGCGGCTCACCGCGCACCTGCCCTGGAACAAGGACGGCCCGAAGAACTACAAGAAGCCCTGGGACGGCGCGGGCAAGCACTCCACGAACGCGCGGAACCGCGACGAGCGCACGCGCGCCGCGTCCGTCGTCCGCGAGTGGTGGATCGCGCAGCGCGCGAACCTCGACCACTACCACCTCAGGGTCCTCTTCTACAAGCACGAGAAGGAGGCGTCCGCGCGCATGGGCGACTTCAAGCGCCACCAGCTCCACCTCATCCAGACGCAGCAGCGCTGCTTCACGGAGGACGCGCAGGCGCTCAAGGACGAGGTCGCCGCGCAGCAGGCCGAGTGGAGCGAGGCCATGGAGCGCCGGGAGCAGGCGGCCATGGAGCAGGAGGTCATGCTCAGCGCCCGGGGCCTCGAGGCCGAGGAGCAGCGGGAGCGCATGAAGCGGGAGATCGAGGCGGAGAAGGAGCGGAACCTCGAGGCCGCGCGCGCGGCCGCGGAGAAGCGCAAGGAGGAGGACCGGCTGCGGCGCGAGGAGGACAAGGCGAAGAAGGAGGAGGAGGAGCTCGCGTTGACGCGCCACCTCGCCCAGGCCAAGGCCGAGGCGGAGCTCCTCGCGCAGATCGACCCGATCCGCCGCTTCCTCGACAAGGAGTGCGAGGCCAGCGACGTTTGGACGGACCCGAAGACGGGCGTCGCCTACCCCAAGGACTACGTTTTGGGGCCCCGCGCGCTCGAGGACGGCGAGGACGCGCCCGTCGGCGATGAGGCGCTCGCGGTCCGGCGGACGAAGATGGGCGAGGACTGGGTGCTGCTCATGCGGTCCCAGACCTTCCTCCCGGCGGCGTCGAAGCAGCTCATGCGCGTCATGGCCAAGTCCTGGAAGAACGCCATGCCGAGCCACTGGTTCGAGATCATCCGCGGCCTGTACGACGCGGGGACCATCGCCATCAACCTCAACGCGGACGGCAACGCGACGGAGTGCTGGTTCTAGCGCGATCGCTGTTTAAGAAAACGCCTCCAGGGCGGACCCGAGGGCCGCGGCGCCCTCGGCGACGAAGCCGCAGAGGAGCAGGGACGCCGCGAGCGTCTGGAGCGTCTTCGCCGCGGCCTCGTCGGCCATGGCCTGCTCCGTGTCCTCGCCGCGGACGCGCACGCTCCGCACGAGGCCCTCGGCGCCGCCCTCCACCATCGGCCGCGGCTCGATGCGCGTGTAGCCGTCGTCCTTGAAGCAGTTGAGCCGCTCGGGCACCAGAACGAGGTGCCAGCCGACTTCGGACTCGTAGGGCCCCTCGACCTGGCCGAGCTCCGCCGTGAAGCAGTGGCGGTCCAGGGCCTTGGACCTTATCGTTCCCTGTGGAATGCGCTCGCCGAGCAAGCCGCCATTCGACGCCGTCGTGTCGTCGACGGAGTATTTTCGCGCCGCCGACTCGAAGACGTCGACGACGAACTCGCCGCTCCGCGTCGCGTTGGCGATCTTCGCCGCGATGGCCGCGCACTGGCGGCGGCCGTCGTCCGTGCGCGGGCGCATGACGTGGCGCGGGGACGCGCGCACGGACAGCGCCATGTAGTCCTTGCGGATGCGCTGCAGAGGGTTCGCGAGCGCGCCGGCGGCGGCGATGACGGCGGCGAGCGTCAGGAGCTTCATGGCGTGCAACGCGGAGAGTTTCTAGGATTGGACTTTGCGGCCGCGAAAGAGCGTTCTAGGATTAGAGCGGGAAAAACAGGCCGTCTTGGATTTCTAGGATTGGCGTCGGCCGCGAAAAACAGGCCGTCCAGCTTTCGCACGGACACACAACCAGCAGCCACGCCAGATGCTCGACAGCGCGTGTCGACTCGGGTTGTGTCACAGTGGTAATTTGCTCTCAATATTGGCCTCAACGCCGAGTCGCGCACGGATCGTAGCGCCGATCGGTCCACTCCTGCGCGCCATCGAGGCCCCGGGCGTCGTCGCGAACGTAGCGCGCGTCTCGTTAGCCCGACCCGCGCGCGCGCGGGCCCGCGTCACCTCGCGGGCGCCTTCTTCGGCGCGGGCGACCCCGCGACCTCGCACGCCGCGCGCCCCGCCGCGACGGCGGCGATGAGGTCGCTCTGGACGCTGTGCGCCTTCGTCACCGCCGCGCGCTTCGACACCTCGCGGCGGCACGTCGGGCACGTCGGACGCTGCGGCTGCGCGAACCACTGCGTCGCGCAGTCGCGGCAGAGCGCGTGGCCTGCGCGGGCGGCGGTCCGACGCGGCGCGCGCGCGGCGGGACGGGCGTCGGGAGTTCGGGCGACCGGCGCGCGCGCGGGGACGCCGCGCGAAACCGCAATTGAGCACGATGGGGTCGTCGAGCCAGTCTTTACAGACCTTACAACTGAGCGCGTCGCGCAATCGGAGAGAGACTTCGGGAATCTCGCTGCGACAGTCGTCGATGGGGGTCGCGAGTATTTGCGACGACGAAGAGGCCGTGCGGCGCCGCTTTGTCGCGGCCATCGTGCAGCGCTGTCGGTGTTCTCTTTGCGCGTCCGAGTGGTCGAGTAGGCGGCGCGGTTCGTCGAGCGGTGCTTGGCGATGCGTGCGGTGCGGTCGCGTTGAACGGCGCGTGCGCGCGTGGTCGGTGAGTCTATTCGCGCGCCCGGTCCATCGGAGCGGTCTTCAAAAACCACGACCTTTCCCTGTCGATGCAGCCGCGTTGAAGAGGCTGCCGGCGCCGATGGAGGCGTCGACGACCATCGGCGCGGTCCTTCAAATCTCCGACCTTTCCCTGTGATACCGCACAGTGAAGAGGCTGCCGATGGAGGCGCCGATGGGCACGCAGCACCAATGCCCGACCTCGTCATGGGCATCGGCTGCAACAAGTGGGGCACGGACCCCGCGAAGTTCGACGCCGGCGCGCTCGAGGCCACCTACGTCGCGGCGCTCGACGCCGGCGTCACGCTCTTCAACACGGCGCAGGCCTACCCGACGAGCGAGGCCTGCCTCGGCGGGCTCCGGGCGCGGACGCGGCGGCCGGCCTTCGTCGTCTCCAAGTTCAACTCGCTCGCGGCCGCGCCGCAGGCGCTCGTCGCGTCGCTGCGCGACTCGCTCGACGCGCTCGGCGCGGCCAAGGTCGACGGTTTCCTCGTGCACTTCCCCAGGGGCGACCTCGCGGCGCTCGCGGACGGCCTCGCCGCGGCCGTCGGCGCGGGCCTCGTCGACCACGTCGGCTGCTCGAACTTTGGCGAGCGCGCGCTGCGGCGGCTCCACGGCCTCCTCGCGGAGCGCGGCGTGCCGCTGCGCTTCAACGAGATCGAGTTCTCGCTGCTCCGCAGGAAGCCCGAGACCGACGGGCTGCTCGCGTGCTGCGCCGAGCTCGGCGTCACGGTGCTGGCCTGGGCGCCGCTCGCGTCCGGGCGCCTCGGCGCGTCGCACGCAAACGACGTCGCGAACCCGAAGGCGCGGCCGCTGCTCCGCGCGCTCGAGGTCGTCGCGGAGAAGACGGGCAGGACGACGACCCAGGTCGCCCTCAACTGGTGCATCTGCAAGGGCGTCGTTCCCATCCCCGGGGCGCGCACGAAGGCGCAGGCGGAGGAGAACTGCGGCGCCGCGAGCTTCCGGCTGAGCAAGGCCGAGGTCGTCGCGCTCGACGCGTACGCGCTCGACGGCGAGGGCTTCTACCGGGACCCCGACGCGATCCTGTGCTTCCTCGGCCTGCGGCCGCCGCGGCTTTTGAGGCCGCTCCTCGCGGCCCTCGTGAGGGTCGCTCTTTTCGTCGCCGCGGCGTTCCTCCCACTCCAGCCCGACGGGGCCTAATTTTCTTGTCAAATTATGTCGTCGTCGTCGTCGTCGTCGTCGTCGGCGTGGACGTCGGCGAGCGCGATGAGGCCCATGACCTCCCGGCCGTCGCGCGCGCCGCCGCCGACGCCGCCGTCGGCCTCGCCGTCGTCGAAGGCGCCGTCGCGGTCGAGCGCGCGGACCGCGGCGCCGGCGCCGGCGGCGCGGCCGACGGCGGCGGCGTCGTCGCCGCTCCGCTCGGGCGTCGCGAAGACGGGCGTGTAGCGCGGCGGCGAGTCCGGCGGGGAGCCGTCCGGGTCGCGCGACCGCGACGACGTCCAGCCCTCCCAGAGCTCGAGCTCGAGGTCCTCCAGCTCGCCGTCGGGCCGCCTCTCCGGCGTCTTCGGCGGCGGCGGCGGGGCCGCGTCGACGCAGAGGCTCACGAACTCCTTGTCGCGCGAGTGCACGGCGGGCCGCGGCGCGCGGCGCGCGGCGGCGGCGGCGGCGAGCGCGGCCGCGGCGAGCGCGGCCGCGGCGACGGCGGCGAAGACGGCGGCCGACGCCGCGTCGACGGCGGCGGCGTCGTCGTCGGCGGCCGCGGGCGGCGGCGACGGCGCGCGCGTCCGCGCGAGCGACGGAGGCGACGAGTCGAGCGGCGTCGGGGGCGTCGGGGGCGACGAGTCGAGCGGCGTCGGGCCGCGCGACGTCGGCGCCGCGGTCGACGGCCGTCGCGTCGTCGGCTCCGCCGTCGGGCCGAGCGTCGGGGGTTGAGCGTCATCGGCTCCGCCGTCGTCGGCGCTGGCTTCGCCGGCTCCGCCGTCGTCGGCGCTCGCTTCGTCGGCTCCGCCGTCGTCGGCGCTCGCGTCGTCGGCTCCGTCGTCGTCGGCGCTCGCGTCGTCGGCTCCGTCGTCGTCGGCGCTCGCGTCGTCGGCTCCGCCGTCGTCGGCCTCATCGACGTCGGCGCGACGGTCGTCGGCGTCCGCGACGTCGGCTCCCGGGACGGCGCCTGGGACGGCGCGGCCGTCGTCGGCTCCCGCGACGGCCGGTGCGACGGCCGGGGCGACGGCCGGGGCGTCGGCCGGGGCGACGGCCGGGGCGTCGGCGCGTAGGCCGTCGGTTCGTAGGACGGCGCGTAGGCCGTCGGCCGGTACGTCGGCGCGTAGGCCCCCTCGAAGCACTTCGTGCCCGCGCGCGCGTCGAGCGCGCGGAAGACCATCGTGTTCCACGTGTGGCACATGGCCACGTTCCTGCGCGGGAGGGGGCGAGCGCGTCGAAAAGAGCCTCGCGGGCGTCGGCGGCGCGGGCTCGCCGCACGCGTGGAGGCCGTCGAAGGTGTGGGCGTCGAGGTCGTCCGCGCCGTAGAGCGACCAGACGTCGACGACGGGCACGCCGCGGTCGCCCATGACGCGCGCCGCGGCCGCGTTCTGCCGCTCGAGCGACGGGCGCCACGCGTCCCGGACGTCGTCGATCTCCTTGCCGCAGCACGACGACGTGCGGTAGACGCCGAGGCGGCCGGGCGCGTCGAGGAGCCCGTCGACGACGGCCTCGAGCGTCGCCGCGTACCAGGCCTCGCAGGCGTCGGACCAGTCGCGCCTACGACGGGTCGCCGTCGTCCCCGCGTCTCTTGAACGGTCGTTGCGGCCGCGGGACGCCGCGCCGCGCCCGCACTTGTAGTCCGTGAAGCCGTCGAGGAGCTGCCACCAGCCCATGTTATAAACAACATAATCCGCGTCCAGCGTCCGCGCGACGTCCGCGAGCGTCGTGTCGTTGCGGACGACGTCGCGGATGGAGGCGCCGTCGCGGCCGACGGCCGTCTCGTCTTGTTCGTCCCACCAGACGCCCTGAATGAAGTAATAATCCGTGCGGAAGTCGTCGAAGGTGGCCCAGGCGTGCATGCGGTGCGCGGCCTGCGGCCGGAGCAGGCCGTTCGCGTTCCACGACTCGACGCCGTCGTAGTCGTCGCTCCCCGGGCCGTCGCCGAGGTTCCCGTCGTCGGCGTCGCTGAACTCGCGGGACCGCAGCGCGCCCGTGCCCAGAAACGCGTTCAGACCGTAGTAGCAGAAGCGCGACTGCGAATCCCCGAAATACGCAAGCTTGCGGCCCTTGAGGACGCACGACGCCTGGGACCAGGTCATGTGGTCGTCGCCGGCGGCGATGACGGCGGCGGCCGCCGCGACCAGCAGCGCGCGCGGCATCCGCGAGGCCCCTGGCGATCAGCGCGGCATCTCAGAGGCCGTCAGCGCCTCAGAGAGGCTGCCCGCTCCGTGTCATGGCATCGCATCGATCTCTGTCGCCACAGGATCTTTCCGTCGCGTTGCCGAGCACGACCGACCCCATCGACGGCGACGGCGCCCCCTTAAGTAGCACCCCCGTCCTCAGGAGAGCTCGAAGCCGTGGGCGTTGCGGATGGAGTAGAGGAGCTTCTCCTTGAGCGCGGCCTTGGATGAGTAGTTCGGGAGCTTGAGGAGGTTCATGCACGTGCCCGCCGTGGGGAGCCGCTCCTCGTCACTCGCGATCTGGACCTTGTGGATGGAGATGAGCGGGTTGAGGCACTTGAACCCCAACAGGGGCGGCCGGCTGCAGGACGTGATGAAGCGCAGGAGCCCCGCGCGGTCCTCGGCCGAGAACTCGGCGACGACCTCCCAGAACCACGCGATGATGGGCTGCGACGGGTGGTAGCCGCCGCCGTAGTGCGCGTGGGCCCGCCAGTCCTCGACGTCCAGGGGCCGGTCGTCGCCCGAAACCAAAGTCTGGAGCTCCTCGGCGTCGAACATCTTGAGCCACCGCGCGGGCACGACGGCGCGGAGGCCCCGGAGGAACGCGGCCGAGGGCCGCCGCGTCTCGACGTTGAGGCGGTGGTGCGCGACGAGCTGGACGTAGCGCGCCCGGTTCGACGCGTCGACGGCCGTGTCCCGGCCGCCCGGCGCGAGCGGTACGTCGCCGGGCCGGCCGCGCGCGTCGACGGACGTGACCTCGAAGCGCAGATCCAGCGCCGCGAGGTCCGCGTCGTCGAGGTTCTTCAGCCGCGACAGCTGGGCGTAGAGGCCCGCGTCCAACGACCTCAAATCGTCGAAGTAGTTGTACTTGCCCAGCGCCTTGTTGAGGAAGAACCGCGCGAACCGCGGCTCGACCAGGACGCGCTCGTAGAGCGCCTTCGCGATGACGCGGCCGCAGAACTCGTACTTGCGCAGCGTGGACGCGTCCCGCGCGCCGCCGCCGGCGTAGAGCGCGCCGTCCGTCGCGCTGCGGAACAACCCGCCCCGCTCCGGGTCGAACGCGGCCTTCGAGAGCTCGTCTAAAAACTCCTTGAAGACGCCGCCGCCGTCGATGCCCGCCTCCTCGTGGCCCGCCTCGTTGACGAAGGTGATCTGGACCCGCGACTTGAGCTGGTCCGCCGGCAGGTCCGCCAGCGCCGCCATACTGTCGTCGAAGAGCGCGTCGCGCCGCACCTTCGCGCGGACGCCGAGCGGCCGGATCGCCGCGAGCGCCGCCGCGGCGTCCGACTGGTGCGCGCGGCGGTCGCCGTCGACCAGGGCCTGGAACAGGGCCACGCGCTGGACGAAGGGCACGACGAAGGGCACGGCCGCGAGGACCTGGGCCACGCGCGGCTCGCGGCTCAGCGCCGCGCCGTCGTCGGCCGCGGCCGCCGGCGGCCCGTCGACGTCCATGGGCTGGCGGCGGCGCCGGCCCGAGTTCGACGCCCAGGGCAGCGCCTGCGCGTCGACGTCCATGGCGTCGTCGTCGTCGTCGGACGAGTCCGGCCGCGGCGCCGCGGAATCCTCAGCGAGGCGCTCGCTCAAGCGGACGTCGCGCCAGCGCCACAGGTCGTCGCCGTCGAGCCCCGGCGCGCGGCCCACGCGGTCCCGCAGGTGGCTCAGCAGCCGCGCCGCCGCCGCCACGAGCAGCAGGCGGCCGCAGGCCGCGGGCTCCTGCGCCTGCAAAACCTGGCCGACCCAGAGCGTCTCGTAGAGGAAATCGCGGAGCTTGGCGACGACGGCGGCGATCGTCCCCGTCCCTTGCGCTAATAACGTCTCGTCGTCCATGGTCAGCAGCCGCTGCGAGTACGCGACGCAAAAGAGCGACAGCGCCGCCTCGTCGTGCCCCGTCGCCGCGAGGCGCCAGAGGCCGTCCACCGCCGCCCCCCGGCGGCCGAAGGCGACGGCGTCGACGACGGCCGACACGAGGGTCGGCTGGTGCCCGAAGGCCACGCGGCTCCGGGGCGCGCGGCCCGCGCGGGCGATGACGGCGGCGCCGAACGCCGCCGCCGCGGCCAGCGCGTCGTCGTCGGCCGCGTCGGCGAAGAGCTTGGCCGCGAAGGGCTTCGCGAGCCGCGCGACGTCGGCGGCGCAGGACCGGTCGCCCGTGGGCGCGAAGGACCGGTCGCGCGCGTCGACGGCCGCGGCGACGGCGGCGTCGAGGAGCACGACCTTGTTTAAGGTCGTCGACGTCGCCGTCCGCGGCTCGTCGTCGCTGTCGTCGTCGTCGTCCTCCTCCTGGCGCTGCGCCGTCGCCTCGACGGTGCCGCCGGCCCCGAGCTTCCCCGGCTCCTCGGACCGCTCGACGGCGTCGCGGCCGAGGCCCGCCGCGAGCGCCGTCGCGACGTCGGCCGCGGCGCGCGCGAGCGCGGGCGACGCGTCGGCGCGCGCGGCCAGGTCGAAGACCGCCGCCAGTAAGCGCGCGCCGCGCGCCGTCGGCGCGACCGCGGCGAGCGCGGCCCGGTCGCCGCGGAGCGCGTCGAGCGCGGCGAGGAGCGAGTTCCCGGTCCGGAGCCAGCCGTCGTGGCCGCCGGCGGCGACGGCGTTTCGCGGCGCGCCGAGCACGTCGACGCAGAACGCGACGAGCGCCCGCTCGCCGAGCGGCGACGGCCGCGCCGCGGCGCTCGCCGCGGCGCCGACGGCGACGGCCGCGGCGTCGGCCGCGACGCGCGCCGCGTCGCCGATTGCGAGCGCGGCGCCGAGCACGGCGCAGCAGCGCGGCGCGGCGCCGAGGAGCAGGGTCTCGCGCGCGGCGCCGGCCCACAAATCCGCCGCGGGCGACGCGAGCGCGGCGAGCGCCGCGCCCGAGTGGCGCCGGTCCGCGCCGCCGGGCGCGTCCGCCGCGGCCTCGAGGCGCGACACGGCCGCGTCCGCGAGGCGCTTCGCGACGACGCGCGGGAGCGGCGCGGTCACGGCCAGCGCGCAGCACCGCTCCAGCCGGTCGCCGTCGCGGTCGCTGTGGAACGCGAGGAACGCCCGCGTCAAAGCGAGCGCCGTCGCCGGCGGCGCCGCGAAGGCCGCCCCTTTCGCGGCGAAGACGGCCTGGATCGCGCCGAGGTCCGCCACGTTCTTGTCCCAGGTGGCCCGCAGGCCGCGGCGCCACCGTTTCGCGGCGCGGCGCCCGCGGTACCACGCCGCGAGCCGGAGCGCCGACGCCTGGCGCCGCTTCTCCGCCGCGCGCGCCTCCCGCTCGACGCGCGCGCGGCGCAGGAGCTCCGCGCTGTTCGAGTCGGTCTTGCGCCCGCCGAGGCGGATCTGCCGCTTCGACCGGTCGCTGCCGTCGAACATCGCGACTGGCTTTCCAGACCTTTGCCCGCGATGCGCGCCGCCTTTGTGGACGTCTCCTCCGAGCGGCGCGACGTGGGCGGGCGTCGGGGTCGCCTACGCGTCGGCCGCGGGCACGCTGCGCAGCGAAACGGCCTCGACGGTCGTTGCCTGGGGCGCGCGCGCCGACGACGGAGACTTTGTCAGTGGCGCCTCGACCGCAGCGCTTGGAGATCCGATCCCGACCTATCCCGCCGCCGCGCCGTTTCATGCGCGCGCCGGCGACACACGTCTCGGCCGAGGCGTAGGCCGGGTGCCGTCGGGCTGCAAAAAAGGGCCGCCGCTCCGACCGCGCCCCGAGCCTCGCGCGAGCGCGCCGTCGGCGCGCGTCCGTCCGCGGAGAGCGCCCCGGCGCGTGGGCAACAAGAGATTCTACGTTTGTCGGGGGCGGAGCGAAGGCGAGGCGAGGCGAGGTGAACAAGGGGGGCGCAAAAGGGCGGCGGGCGCGCCTCAGGTGACGAGGCCGCGCGCCGTCGGCGGCGGCGTGTCGCGCTCGA